CCAGAGGGACAGAAAGCGGCCAAGAAGAAGAAGGCTCGGGATGACACCAACTTACCCGTCGTATTCAGGCCCAAAAATACGCATCACAGCGCTGCAAAACGTTTCCATTGTCTCGAGTACCGTAGATTCGCCAATGCGTATCAGCTCATCAAGTTGATCCGCACATGCACCGTAAGCGAGCATACGTAGGGCACAAGTTACCTTTTGCTCTGGTAGAAAGCCTAGAAGAATAGTAGCATCGGGTCTCTGTGTAAAATAGTTGCTTTCCGTGTCCTCCACAAGAGCGGAAACAACTCGCTCAAAAACCTCACGACGCATTCGAAACCTCCGTCGAAAGTCTCCTACGTCAGTACAGCACATCAGCACATTCTCATGTGTACGCAATAGCATTAAAAATATGATCTCGTACGGGCATCATAGGTTGGATTGTCCCCGAAGTAGTCTGACATAGGCTCTTCCCCCCACTTTGATCGTTTTCGCTCCTTGTCCGCACGCTTTCCCGGCTCTGAACCCCCGTGCTTGCGCTTGGTCTGTGTTTGCGCCTCTGGCAGGATAAACAACCGAAAGTACTCGTCATCCTAGTCGTCTGCGTTCTCCATAGCCCCCAACATCCACGGTGGTAGCGACATCGACCTGGAAGAAGATTCAGGGGGTAATTACGTGTGACGGGGTCACACAGCACCTTGCGCAAGAGGAAGTTATCTTCCGAGAGTATACAAACTCTCAGTGAACGGCAGCTAACTGGTCCCCTCTTTTTATTAAAGAGAGCGAAGTGACCCAAATAAGGTAGATTGTAAACTGAGTATATTTATAGGTAGATTAAGTTTGGGTTTAATACAAACTGTTAGTTACCTATAGAAATGAAATGTCATATAACCAATGGTTGGCTTTGAACGACCTTGGTACCTTGTACCAAATATCTCGGAGTATGACGTGTCATACTCCTGAAGTGTGAAGTGTCACACTTCATGTAACCAGGGTACACTTAGGGCTACGTACCCCGTTACATCCTCCCCCACTTAGGTTCGGTTTACCGACCAATCAGAATGAAGAGGTGTTCGTCACAAACTCTCATTCTCAAAGTCGAAACCCATCGACTTGGCCGCGCGAGCGCCGGGGGAGGCTCACTTCACAGTTAGAGCCTCGAGCAGCAACCCGTGCGCTCTTCGTCAAGGTCTCCACTTCGACCGTTAACATGCCTCGTGGCACTGCTAAGAGCGGTGCTAAGACACGCTCCAAGGCTGCAGCCGGTAAGGCGCAGGCCAAGAGCACTAAGCCTCACGGCAAAGGCTCTGCACTCAAGGAGGCTACTCAGGTGGCCTCCGAGGCGATCGGTTCCTCGGGTGACGCGGCTGCGGACAAGCGCGCAAGCAGGCGCCGCAGTCCGTCGCCCTCGTCTTCAGACAATCGTCCGAACCCTCGGTTCGTAGAACGTGAGTTCAACTCGGGCAGTGAGGACGATGCCGAGTCCGAGAGCACTCATGATGCTCCTGCGGGCTCTGTGGGAGGGCACAGCCCAGTGCCCAGTGAGCACAAAGAAGACAGCGTGCAGTCGTCCGCTAGTGATCACGGTGATCACAGTCCCAGGACCTCTGTCCGCTCTGAGAGTCCGACCGTTAAGGCTAAGGGCACTCCCAAAGCCGGTGGCGATGAGGAAGGGAGTCCTCGCAAACGTCTCTCGCTTGCCGAGGGTCTTGCGCGCGCTAAGGCCTCTAAAGCCGAAGGCGCCAAGCCCTCAAAGAAGCGTACCGCCTCTAAGTCTCCACTCCGCGAGGAGAAGGAGACTCGACGCTCCTATCAGAGTCTCTTCGGCTCCTCGGATGAAGAGGAGGAGAAGGAGAAAGAAGAGGAAGAGGAGGGTGCCATTGTTGAGCCCCGGGAGGTCTCGAATGACCTCGACCAGCAGCAGGAGGATTTCCAAGCTGCCCAGCGTGTGCGTGGGGGTTCGGTGGCGGCACCCGTCAGCCAGGGAGCTGCCATCAACTCAAGAGGGTATTGGCCTCCCGAGGAGAGCTCTGGGGCTGACCTCTTCTTAGAGATTCTCGTCGCTCCTCGTGGCCTTGTGGGCGGCCACACTTCTAGGGGCATCTATGAACGAGCCCTTGTTCAGAAAGAACAGTTGTTCGTCGACAACGTGGAGGCTGCTCGGTGTGTGCTTCTCGCGCCACACCGCATTCCCCTTAAGGACTTCACGACTTGTCGTAAGAAGCCCGAGACCCGGGGTGGTCTCTATCCTGTTTGTGGATACCCCTGGGTTATGCCCGAGAACTGTCCCACATGGAGTTCTTGTGAGGACATGTTCTGGGCGTGGGTGGAGACTCTCAAGTACTCGCCCACGGAGTTATGGGAACTCCATGAAGATCAGCAGCTGTCCCACATCCTGGACCAGCGTGATCTTCGTGTGAGGCGACCGCGTGTGGCACTGTGTTACCCACACAGGAAGCGTATCCGACGTCTTCCTCTTCAGTTATGGTCTGGGCGACCGTGAGTGGAACTCTGTTACCCACTCTGAACACGCTGTTCTCAGTGTTCATGACAGCTGCAGCTGTCTGCGGAACTAAGTTACCCGCCTGTGGACCTACGTTACCCACTTGGCCGGCGCCTCTTCTGGGCGCGGCCACCATCAAAACATCCTCGGAGTCGTCATATACGTCGACGACTCCCAAGCATCTGCCGGATGCTTTGGTACCCTGGCAGCCCTCGCGGGCGCCCCGGGTCCTGACAGAGGTGGGAACATGACTCACCAATGCTCTGTCGGACTGCGCAGGGCGGCTGGCACCGATTGCCTTGCCTCGCCAGTCGATCCAGGGCTCGTGCTTCTCAAGCCAGGGCATGCCCAGGATCATATCATATGGATCCATATCGAGAACAGTGAACTGTTCGAGGCTGTCAAAGTCTTCAAACTTGACAGCCAGATCCACTTGGACGTTGAGGACAGTGACGACCTTCCCGTCGGCCAGTCGCACTGACACCGTCCCGTTGCCCTTGCATTCTCGCAAAGCTTCGGACAACTTGTTGCTGTTACGAGCAACCGTCTGGCGGCGTGCGAAAATCTTCGACGCCCCAGAGTCAATCAAGATTCTAAAGGGGTGATCGTACCCCCGTACACATCCGTGTACTACGAGCAACCCGCCGCTGCTCTTCGCCGATTCGAGAGTGCGAAGACTCTCAGGGGCTAAGTCCCCGGGGTACGCGCCACCCGCGCACCCATCACGAAGACTTAGTTCTTCCCCAGTAGGGCGCCCCGCCCCTACTGGTTCCCTGCGTTCCCCTGTCCCCGGGATCCTGGCTTCTGCCAGCGACCCTTGAGGACGGGCTTGGGGAAGGACCGTCTGCGGAGTCTTTCCGCGGGACAGTCGCGCTTGAAGTGGCCCATCTTCCCACAGCCGAAGCAGCGAATGTCACGCTGTTCGGCGGACCCGAGTTCCATGGGAACTGGTCCGTTGGGGCTTGTTCGACCGGGAGCCGACAAGGAACTCCCAGGCCACGCTGAGGCCGGCGTACGCGCCTGGCGATGGCTGTATTCTTCTTGAAGAGCCACTTGAATCGCCTCTTCAAGGGTGCTTGCCTGCACCCGGAACAGCTGAGTGCGTGCGGGGCCCACTCGAAGGCCGTCCATGAACACAGTCATCTTGATGTGTTCATTGAGTGGGTTTCCCACTAGGGACGCCGTGAGCTCCCGTATCTCTTGCACATACTCGTGCAGTTCGCGTCTTCCTTGTTTACACGCGAGGAAGCGCGAACGCTGGCGGTACTCGTAGTTCGCCGGGAGGAACGCGGCTCGGAGCTGTTCGCACAGCTGAGCCCAGGATGTGAAACATCCAGGGGATGTCGCTTCCCGAGTGTACACCCAACTCTTAGCACGATAGCTAAGGTTGGAGAGTGCAAAAGCAACACGCAGTTGCTCGGTCGAGATCAGAGCCGCGTCCATCGCGAGCTCTACTTCTCGGACCCAGAAGTGAAGGTTATCGCCTTCCTTCCCTTCATACGGCTTTACCTTCAGCCGTATTGGCTTCGGGTGAGGCGGGTTTGCTTCCGCCGCCGGAGCCTGCAGGTTCTCCCGCACATGCGCGATGAGGCCCTGCTCGTACGCGTCGAATGCATTGACGCGCTCGAGCTGCTCAGCCGGTGTTGATACCACCAGGCTCTGCAGGGCCTCCATCCCGAAGATGCCTGCCATCTTCCGAACCGACTCGAACTGAGAGTCGTTCATATGGGAGAAGTCGTTCCTATCCATGGCAACGAACTTCGGAGGTTCAGGTAGTCTACCCGCGATGGCGTGGATTGACTACAAGTGCTACCAAGTGTGACGGGGTCACACAGCACCTTGCGCTAGAGGAAGTTATCTTCCGAGAGTATACAAACTCTCAGTGAACGGCAGTTCACTGGTCCCCTCTTTAATTAAAGAGAGCGAAGTGACCTAAATAAGGTAGATTGTAAACTGAGTATATTTATAGGTAGGTTAAGTTTGAGGTTAATACAAACTATCAGTTACCTATAGAAATGCAATGTCATTTAACCAATGGTTGGTTTTGAATGACCTTGGTACCTTGTACCAAATATCCCGGAGTATGACATGTCATACTCCTGAAGTGTGAGGTGTCACACTTCATGTAACCAGGGTACACTTAGTGCTACGTACCCCGTTACACCTTATTAGCATTGAAAGGTCCGAAAACATCGCGTACCTGTCGAACTGCTGAGAAGAGGGCGGGGGGGGGGGCGGAGCAAAGCTGTCTTGGTTGTTCGGCGGAAGTGAAGGCTTCGAGGGCGCGCGGAGCCGAAGAAGGGGGGAGGTTCAAGCTTCTGGCAGAAAGTTGAGTGGCCAAAAATCAGTAGTTTAAAAGTCGTAATTTACCTTGATGGCCAATCATGGTTAAAACATGCAAAAATCATTATTTAAGTATTGATAACTGTAGAAACATGGGCTGCAGATTTACCGGTTTTTGAAACTGCCGTGCGTACTGTGCTAACTCGAAAGTGCGAACCGAAACCATGGGAGCGCGACCTCGGGCCTCGTACGCGCTCATGCCGCCCACACATCACCACAAGAGTGACGAGAGCGACGGCGATAACAGCGACAGCGATACTGAAGATCACCTGCAATCACGTGTGGGTCGGTCGCAACAAGCGGCGCTGTGGAGCACTAGACTACACGCCTTCCTGTGGATTGCGGCAGCTGGACTCCTGATCTACGGGACCGACTTTTTCCGCGTCATTTTCACAGACCCACGCGTTAAACGGTGAGTAGGAACATGGAATACACGAAGAAAATAGCAGCTAACTCGTTCGTCGCAGGGGGTTCTTTCAGGTGGCATTGGTCTGCACTGGAGTCAACACTTGCATTACGGTGTATCTGGGCCGTGTATCTGCCCTACATTAAACGCATCAAACTCGAATGGAGTGTCTATTGCCCACGCATGATCCCTACTGCCACAATAGTGGGTGTTGTGGCTACCTTTTGCTACATCTGCGCCTTCTGGCCAATTTGGGGGCTACTTACGCCGGGGTTACTTGGACTCGTGTTCACTGGGGCGCTCATGACAGCACACTTCTTGCCACCGATCTAGTATTTAGGCTAATGAGAACAGGAACGGCAGCAACTTGTATTTTGTTTAGGAAGAAACTGGAATAAATAACGCTTCAGGGCAGCACGGGCATAGAGCCACAGTGCGCACACTTGATACACAGGACGTCCGCACCATTGTCCGGTGTTGTCTTCTTCTCGAACGTTGGATCGGCACAACATGAGTCACTGCAGACAGACACGAGACACAGCTATAGAGCTCAGTAACGAGTCAGCTGTCTCAATAAATTACCTAGCTACAAGCAGCTCTCACCGATGCGTCATAAAAGCGTTGACGATCTTGTCCTGGAAGTCTTCGAGCACTGAATGGTACACGTACTTGACGTGGAAGGTGAAGCCACAGCCGCATGAGATGAAAGGCGTCGACATCTGAGTGCTTGCGTGCTCTCGGAGGTAGCCAGCCTTACAGATGGGGCACAGTACAGAGATCAACTCCTGTTGTTGCTCTTCATCGCTTGACCGTGGTGGCTGCTGCTGAGAACGACCCATAAGATCCATACTGGCCAGCATTGCCTCCAGTTCGGCGTCTTCGAGCTCAGCCATGTGTTCGGCCAGACGTAGTTGCTCGTCTTCATTCGTGTCCATCTCAGTCTCGAGACGTAGCGCGTCCTCCAGCGTGTGGATGATCTCCAGGTAGTCACTCTCTTTTAAGCGTCCCATGAGCAGTAAATCGTCCACTGACGCGGCAGAAGGAGAAGAAGAAGAGAGAGACGCCTCCTGCTGTTCGTGAGCCACGAGGCGTTGGATTTCCTCCGAGACGCTCGTACGCGCACCCGGTCGTCGCAGCTTGGCCAGAAGCTGACTGCGGTCTCGCTTGAGACGCTGTAGACAGCGTTGGCGCAGCTGATCCTTCCACACAGGCGGAGACAGCGACAGACGCTTGATCGGCGAGCGGTGAGCGGGTGGGGGCGGCATCATGAAAATTGGGGATGTCACGCGATGATAAACTCACTTAGGTACGATTGCGACAAATCTGCAAAATGCGATGTACATTGTATTGTGCAAATTTGTGAGACAGCGTCAAACAAAAATGATACTTACGAACCATTTGAGATAATCGAGGCCAATTAATTTTCGCAGTTAGCCGGAGCTGTGACATTTGGTGTAAACTTCCATCGAAAAACCTGTAAAACTACCCTTATTTAGTTGCTTTTAGCAAGGGCTTTTAAATAATAATTGAAACCCTTTAAAATTAAAAAAATATTGAGCTCACAACACTCTTAAAAATGTTTCGTCATTTCGAGGGCCCATGGAGATATTTTTTTTGAGCGACCACAACTTCTTCAGTTTTAAAAGCATTCTGTAGCTTATTAATAAGATAGAGTTAGAGTACCGGTACTTAAATCCCGATTCGTACTTAGGTTCGTAAGTATCATTTTGTTTGCAAACATATTATGTTGTGCAATAACTGCTGAAGAATTCGCAGTACTGACCTCTATCTGAGTCTGTGATTAGGCGGACATCTCGTCTACGTGATGCTGTGGAGCATCAAAAACGTCGTGTATTTGGCCAGCAGGTGCTGGAACGCTGCCAGTTCATCCAGCACGTCGTACCGAAACGCCTCGCTGCGCATTTTTTTTCGAGCAGCAGCCCACGCCTCTCGCTCGCGGTCTCGGGCATCTGAGTACATTTTACGCTTCTCCGACAAGAGTTTACGGAGTACCGTCACTTTCAACTGGTGAGGAATTTTTCTCGACACTGGAGGAACAGACCTATTATTGGAGTTTGTAGACGGCAAATGAAGCGGTGACGACTGGATAAGAGGCGAAAATTTCCGGCACTTTTTAAGTGATACCTTGGCTCCAAGCGGTGACCGAATTGGGGGCTTTGGCGCCTGGGGAATGAGATTCTGGCGTGTGGTGTACACGTCGTACATGACGAGCTGGAACTCTTCTTCCATGTTGCTCCTCAGCTGTAGATCCTGTCGAACATGTAAGTTGTCTGGCGATTCAAAAGCTTGAAGCCCAACTGAATAGGAATCCGCACTCATTGGGGAGTGGGGGCCAAGTGATCTTGAAGAAACAGCGCCAATGGGCATGTGCACAGCGCCTCGATTGCGGAAATGGCGATGCATGTCCTGCAGCTGTTTGTGTTGTTGTGGGTTTATTGGGCTCTCAGCTGAGGATCGCTGAACCATACCGAAAAACGCTGAACCTTTTCCAGCTCGCAATTCCGAGTTCGTTTCTTCACTTTTGCCTTTCAGTGGACAAGGATTGCTTGGCATTGTAAACGTTACGATGCCATGTCTGCGCTTGGCCTTGCGCTCTACTTTTGCCCATACCAGAAGCATTAGCTTGATCCGCGCCGCAGTGATCGCTCGCCAAGACCGCCACATGACTTGAAAGTCTCGCACGCGTTTCCGAAAGCGCAGGATAATGCGTCGGAATTTGACGTCTTGAAACTCGAACCACGCCGTCACAATGAGCGCAACGTTCTCCTTTCGCTCACTGTGATGTTTCCGCTCCAGCCAGACTCGAATATTCCGTTGGAGTTTGGTCACTGCACGAATCACCACAGGCATGCGGAAGAATGCCGACGACAGAGGAATGCCACGTCCAGAACGAAGCAGTTGCAACGAATTACGCTGCTCAAGAGTTCGTCGACGCCAATATCGCTGCAATCGCTTGATCATTAGAATCCGCAACAGTTCGCAGCGCTTCTGATGGAGCTCGTAAAACCTGGTGAGCCACTTCTTGGAGCTCTCAGAAAGCGCAACAACCAGCAGCCACTGACTCTGGATATGAACACGACGAGCTCTCTCGGCCCGCTGCTCGTGACGAGTCTGCCAGCGAACCACGATACGTTGCACGTTCTGATCCCTTGCAGCTTCCAGCTCTTGCTTGCGTTTCTTTGCTTGGTGCAGCTTGTGGTCGGTGGCTGAAGGGAGTAGAGGTGTCTGCGATGGCTTCTGCAGCACTTGAAACGTTGAGGTGGCGCGGTTCCTGGCTATGATATTGACGCCATGTTCTGCAATAAGTTGCTGCTTCTTCCACAATTGCAACACCTCCATTTGCTCCAGCACGTGGGGCAAACTACGCAGCTCGTTCATTCGTGACGTCAAGTTGCGAGAACGCAGAGCACTGCTGTCTCGTGTCGCATCATACTTCGTCTCGTGAGAGTCTGTTGGCTGAAGGGCTTGGCCTTCATAAACGCCATTGTTGAAGCGGCAGAAATGCTTGGTGGATAAAAGAGCGACACCGGCAGCTTGTCCACGGCTTTATTGTTGTCATTTAGGCTTCGAGACAGCCCGAGCTCCGTAGAATGGGTCAGTGGCTGCAGCAACTCTCCATGGTAATGGTGATTGTACTTGCATGACGGATGCCTTTGTGGTCGTGCTGCCGCAACACGCTGAGTGTATGTCGAGCCCAACGTGGACTGGTACCGCGGTCTCATTGACCCTCGCACTTCACCTTGCCTTGTACCCCTAACTTTCTGTGAACCATCTGCTTCTTGAAGAATCTCGTTGAGTACCTTTTCAGCTTTCCGCTGCTTGCGTTGTCCTATTTCGCTCGATCGGTATCGATAGATCAACCACTCTGTAGTTGCTTCAAGAGCGGTGTGGTCCTTCCTCGACGTGCAGCCAGAGTCTTGGTTGGGATATTCAGGTTGAAGAAGTTGATCCAGTACGGCAGTTTTAGTCCTACTTGCATCATCCTGGAACTGATCTTCCAGGTTGTTGTTGTTGACGTTTCTCTCAGTTCGTTTAGGCGATGAAAGGGCCGATGTGGTCTCTTTCAACAAGGGACCTAGGGAGATTGTATACACATTACTGTCACTTTCAGGCAGGGGCAACCGACCGGGAAATTCTCCACGTGCACTGAGTTGTGCGTTGACTACAGCCTGTGCCTCAGCATTGTGGATTTTGAGGTGGAATCCGTCTCGAACCGTGAAGCGTTTACTCGATGCGAGGTGGTCGGAACTAGGCCCCCAACCCGGAGAAGACTTTGTTGCTAGCGGGGTTGGTCGTGCAAGTTCAAAGGGCGCTTGCCTCTCGCTGTTGTTGCTGAGAGTCATGCCAGCTGCACTGATCCTGGGTAGGCCAACCGATAACTTTTGTTCCTCGAAAAACTCCAGGTTTTGTAGGACCAACAACTGTCAGAAAAGGTTGATCCGAAAATATATTCCAGGCGGGGTGGTTGCCATCATCCCTTTCGCAGGGTTCCTCAAAATATAATCCTGGTATTGTGCCTTTCTGCTCAGTTTTATGGTCTTACGTAGGAGGATGGACTCTAAGATGTAGCAGTCACAAAATTGATATTGTACAATACCTTCCATCCTTTGAGGTTTCATCGACAAACACGATTTGATCTGGCCCGCTGTAGAAAGGCAATAGCCTGTTCACATATGCCTCGCCAGCGTATGTCTGATGAGTAGCCCATATTTAATTTAAAATCAATCTATTGTGGATACGGTAAATGGCCGGCAAATACTGGCCATTCAGCCCTTAATTCGCTAAAAGGTACCCTTTAGACCAAATCGGAGCCCTTACGTAGGGCCTCCACAATCAAGTATTATTGGATCATAGTCGGCAAAATCAAACAGTGTTATTGTAACATATCTTTTTATTTAGTGGCCTGGCTTAGCAATTCAACTCCAGTTCGTCCTCAAATCCCACCTTTAGCCCTACCCACCCTTGCTTAGGACCAGTCTTTAAAGGCCAAAATACACAATAGTGCTACAGCGAGATTATGTGCGCACACCAATAGTAGGTATCGATTCGATACGAATTTCAAATAAGAAGGTCTTATTTTTCTACCAATTTGTATAAACTTCACTGGTTTCACTCCACAGTAAAGGTTTGGCATGGGTATAAACTTATAGATACTTGGTGTACGAAACAAAATTTAGCTAACTGTGGTGTAGTGATTTCTCCATAGTTGCGGATAATCTTCCATCGACAAAGACGCGACACCGCCCAAGATGTTCAAGCGACGAACCCTCGGTCATGTGATGTACAGTGACTCCAAGGTGCAAGAGACTCGACGGCCTAAGTACCGAACTTTCAACGGATATTGGATACGGCCCATATGTCACTGAATCCAGGCCGTCCTTAATATTAATAATGGACTGGCCGGATTCGCATTCAGCGGCCAAGAACTGATCATCTACAGTACGAACCCTCGGTGGCGGTCTGGTAATAAGGTTTTTACATTAATAAGTAAAAATTTATTAAAAACTCGACTTTCTACGTTTCTACCATATCGTTACGTAAGCGCTGTAAATATGGACCTGCTTGAAAGTTAGCGAGCTACTTCAAGCTTCGGATGTTTCGAATCCTAGCTCGAATTTAAGTCAGGTCTTCATTCTCTTCCAGCTCCACAAGACTTTCGCCGAGATCCATGATTGTTGTTCGCCCTCCACCAAAATCCGGTCGCCCCCAGGCGAACTTAGCGCGCTTTTCACACGTACTGGCGGGAAGGCAAACTCCGCCCTCTACTGGACGGTATGCAACCGGTGCCAGCAGAGCCACATCGACCACCGTGGACCTGAGCCGGAGCGGATCCAGGGACGAAGAGATTACTGGGAAAAACATCTTAGTCAATGCGTGCACTACGAAGGCGAGTTCGTTGGATTTAAGCGCCCTGGTGACGAGTCATCGATGCCTTCAAATAAGAAGCCAAAGGACGAAATTTGGCTAACGAAGCGGTCGAAGTTGATGAGACAACCTAGATGCAGTCCTCTAATTTGTATACTACGCCACGTCATTGAACTTTATCAAGATATTATTCCGCTCCCCGATCGCATAGAACTACCGACTGCCAACTACCCCCATAAACGAACACTGCGTGGAATCAGGGCTCGGAAAGTAAAACTGCAGATTCTGTTTCCCATCGTCACTGAAGTTGAGAGAGTACAGCTGTAGCAGTGATACGTAAATCCAATGGTATTCGCTCCATTAACATGAATCAAATATGGCGTCAATTGATTTCATTCTTAGTATCAGCTCTCGACTGAGTCTTTTTCTCCAGTTTATCTTCTACACCGCGTTTTTTAAAAAAAAAACGACTACGATCAGAACCAAAAATCATAGTTTGATCCTGTAGATCACATTCAGAAGCTTGATCACATATAGGGCAATCTAAAGGATGGTTTATTAGAAGAAATTCTAACACACTTTCACGTGCTTTTTGAACTAAAGGTGTATCAGTAAATATTTTCATATTAGGCATTAAAGGCATAGCACATGA